TGCAAGGTCTTGCATGGTAGAGCAAAATCTTTAGAGCAGGAGCTACATCATTCCATAGCTGAACTTAATGAACTGAAAAAGATTAATAATGAAATGCTCACTACCATCGAAACTCTTGGGATTGATAATGAGTTTTTATCAAAGGAGATCGAGAGCCTGAAAAATTCTGCCTTTCTTGCATTGTCCATGGAGACTCCACCTACACCGGAAATCCAGATTGAGTCTTCCAAACAGGAACCGTTTAACTCTAGTTCCCTACTTTAGGAGCTTGCTGCCTGTAACTTCGAGAACTTTCCCATGACCCATCAACCACCAAAATTATGCATCAGCAATTCAATTGAAAAACCGGTCAATTATTCTACTATTAATAATAATATTAAAAGATTATTAATTTTGGGCGATCAAAATGGCTATGGTTTGGGTTCATTAATTCAAAGCTCTAATGAAGAACTGACTGTCCAATCAATTATAAAGCCCAATGCAATGTTTGTGGATGTTATTGAAGACATGGCTAATTTATCAAAAGATTTCACTCTTGAAGACTTTGTACTGGTTTTAGCTGGTTATAATGACCTAAAGAATAAAAAATATCCGTCATTTAAGTCAATAAATAGCATATTTAAAAAATTGGGTCATACTAACCTTATAGTTTTATCTGTACGTTATAAGAATAATTGTGATTTCACTGTGAATAGAGCTATTTTTAGGTTTAATAATAAGTTGTGTCTGTATATGAATAGACTGAACCAATTTGTGGACGGTAAATTCTGTTTTCTAGATTTAAATTTTAGGGGTACCTTATTAAGAAGGAAGGAACTATGCAAGCGCGTTTCAAGTATTTTAGTTTCAAGCTGCCCTAACAAAAACCTAACTTTTGTGAAATTGTGCGATATGAATGAAAGTGTTCAGTTATTCAATAATAATGCCAATACAGATATCCCTTTGAATACCTCCGCTGAATCGGTTGCTGCAGTGGAAATTCCTAAACCAATAAATATTGACAACACTGACAACTGTCCGGAAAAGCTAGACCATTCAAATTCAAATTTTTTAGAGCTGCCGCCTGTAGCAATAGATCCGTAACGTCAAACAATAACACCCATATTTCTCTATTTTTACTCAACATTCAGTCGTTGAGACATAAGATTGACGAGTTGGATATACTTTTGGATAAGTTTGGATACCCTCAACTAGTTTTAATCACTGAACATTGGTTGAGGGAACATGAATTGGTTTATATTCGAAATTATGCAGTTGTTTCAGTTTTCTGTAGGACCACATCAATTCATGGTGGTTCTTTAATTTTGGCACATAAAGATCTTCTAAAAATAGACTAACTACAGTCCATAGATAATTTCAATGCCCTACGCTTGGAGAATGCTTTCGAATTTTCAATAGTCTACTCTAAATGCCAGAATTTGTATATAGTTTGCATATATAGATCACCATTATCCGACGTAAATGATTTTTTTCATGGTTTGGATTCACTGCTTTCTGTATTGTCTGTTTCTGCTTCTGTAATTGTGTCGGGCGATTTTAATATAAATTTTTTGGATGGAAAAAGTGTGTCTAGCATAAGATTACATAATCTGTTGCAATCCCATAATTTGCAGATGCATGTAAAATGTCCAACACGAGTCACGCAGTACTCTTCTACATTGATTGATTATGTTTGTTCTAATTTTCATTGTAATAGTGTTGATTGTTCTGTTGTTGAAGCTGGTTTATCAGATCATAATGCAGTAATATGTAATTTCTTAAAGCGTACAGTGCAGTCTGCACTTAGATATAGGTATGGTAGGGTAACCAAAAAACTCACGGAGGATATTGTTCCATCTAGGGATCCCCTTGATTATCTTATGCAGGCATCAGTGCAAAATTCTTTCTTTTTTCTGCCCACTAACCGTTTTGAACTAAGGGAAGCGATTTCCTGCATTAAGAATAAAAACTCGGCAGGGGAGGACGGGCTTTCTGTCAAAATATTTTCTCATCTGCCAAATAATGTGCTGGAAATTCTAGCGAGGGCAATTAATGCTTCTTGGGAGTCCGGAACTTTTTCGTCTTGTTTGAAATTCGCTAAAGTGATTCCTCTTCATAAAGGAGGTGACTTAGAGGAACCTTCAAATTATCGCCCTATTTCTTTGTTGTCCACCCTATCAAAAATTATTGAGAAATTAGTGAAAACCAGAGTGACATCATTTATAGCTGGAAATAATATTTTAAGTAGTGAGCAGTTTGGCTTTCAGGAAAAACGAAGCACTGAGGATGCAATGTTTAGGGTGTTGGAGGAGTTGTATTCTCGGCTCAATGGGGGTGGGGTGGCCGCGGCAGTGTTTTGTGACTTGTCTAAGGCTTTTGACTGTGTCAGTCACGAAATTCTGCTGCGTAAGCTCTATCACTATGGGTTTAGAGGTGTGGCAATCTCGTGGTTGGAGTCTTATTTGACTGGTCGCCAACAGAGAGTTTTTATGGGGTCTAGATCTTCGATGAGTCGGGGTATTGACTGGGGGGTGCCTCAGGGTTCTGTTTTGGGTCCTCTTCTATTCCTGTTATTCATCAACGATCTGGCAAGCCTGAAAATTGATGGCAAATTTACCCTTTTCGCGGATGACACAACTGTCTTATGGCACGGTCGCGATTCAGCCTCTTTAAAGAGGTCTATTTCTGGTGACCTCGAGAAAATTAAAGATTGGTGTGACTCCAACCTTTTGGTTCTGAACTTTGACAAAACAAATATTGTTAGCTTTAAGTGTGACTTGGAGGACTTGCTTATTGGGGATACTATTATTAAAAGTCGCCCTGATACCAAGTTTCTTGGACTTGTTATTGCCAGGGAACTAAGGTTTGAGTCGCATATTGTTGGTCTGGGCAGAAAAATAGCATCAGGGTGCTATGCAGTTAGAGTTACCGTTAATGAACTGGGCCCCTCAATGGGACGAACCATCTATTACGCACTTATTGAGTCACGTCTTAGATATGGTATATGCTTCTGGGGTATGTCAAACTTACATCTGCTATAAATACATTGTTTGTTTTACAAAAGCGAGCAGTAAGATATATATGTCGTGCAAGGCCGAGAGATTCGTGCAAACCTCTGTTCTTGAACCAACAAATCCTGACTCTCTACAGCCTGTTTATTTTAGAAACCGTGTGTATTCTCTACAAAAACCGTCAGAGCTTTTCACCCCGCAGTTCAAACTACAATACGCGACAGTACCTCAATTTGCCATTGCCCATTCCTACATCGACTTTAACCAAAAAATCGGTTATATATGAAAGTATCAAACTGTATAATTACTTACCCAATGAGGTGAAGATGCTTCCTACAATGAAACAATTTAAAAAAGGAGTTCGGCAGATTTTAGTTGGTAAGGCCTATTATAGTGTGGACGAATTTTATAATGATTTTAATTGACATTTAGCATTCTGCATATTTTGTTTTTTGTATTTTATTTAATTGTTTATATATTGTTAAAACCTAGTCATGTATTTTTGTTTTGTTCAGTATTTTATAATTTACACATTAGGTTAAAGTTTTACAGCTCTATTCACCATTTTGTTTGTTAGTCCTGATTTTTTATTTTTAAATTTTAATTTTGATTATTGATGATTTTTGTTTATAATGTATATGCTTTGTCAACAAGACTATTGTCTTATAAGATAATAAAGCTTATTTTGATTTGATTTGATTTAGGAAAGCATTTTGAAATAAAGAATAAAGGAGAATTAAAAAAAAAATGAGAATTTTAAAGCGTTTTAATTATGAAATTTGTAATAGTTCACCAACACCAATTATTGATCCAAAGTTAATTTTTTTTTTTAAAGAACATGACAAAGGTGACAAACCAGTTAGATGATTCGTTGTCTTATGTATTTATTAATTGGTTCAAGGCTAGATAATAGAAAGTTTTACAGTACATTATTTAAGTAGATTTCAAGACGAAAATAATGATAAGTATGGACAGCTTTAAAAAGACTATTAACCCTAGAATACTAACCCACATAAATTTAACGTGTGCTTTTTGTTTGATATGCTGGAGTTTCCTAAATATGTGATCCAGTTCGCTCAAATTTCGAGAGTGCTTTCCCCAATACCAGGCACCGCCTTCGTTACATAAACGGCAGTCTTTTCACGTCTGCCAGATTCACAAAAGTACACTTCTGTACGTAAAATTTACGTGGGTTAGTACTTTCTTTTAACGAAATTTATTGATTTTATTTGTTCTGAGTGTTATTTCTCTAAATTTTCAAAATATAAGCGGCTGGAATTATTATTTTGTATTCTGTGTACATGAAAGTTTTGAGAAGATTTTTTTTTTCAATTCTACTTAAACATACTTACATGTATGTACACAACTAAAAACATACTCACACACCATATACAGACACACCTAGTAGAACTCACATTTCACACAGACACTCGTAAATTTTACGTAGGTAGGTTAGTTTACGTGTGTTTTTAGAGGGTTAGTATTCTAGGGTTAAGATACTTAAAGGAGAAGATTTATACGATTTTGAAATTTGAAAGAAAGGACGAATCAATTCCGTTTGATTGCTTTGTAGATTCTGATTGGGCCGGAGATGTGAATGATAGGAAGTCAGTTTCAGGATATTTATGAAAATTATAATTTGGGTAACTTGTAAACAAAATTGTGAAGCTCAGTCTAATTTAGAAGCTGAGTTAGTTGCTTTATTTACAACAGTACAATATTGTTTATGGTATAGGAATGTGTTAATTGGCATGAAATTAGATTTAAAAACTTTCAACATTTTTGATGATAATCAGGGTTGTATTGCTTTTAATCAAAAATCCAAAGATAGTTAAACACATTGATTTAAAGTATAATTTTGTTTCTGAAGTTTTAAATTCTAAGATAATGTCATTGGAGTATATTGGTAGAAAACTTCAATTGGCAGATGTATTGACAAAGGGTCTTCACAAAACTCAGATTTACCGAAATTGCAATAAAATAGGGTTACAAATCAGAGAGGGATGAGATTTATTTTTTGTAGGTTCTTACCTCTTTCAAAACTTTATATCCATCTTCTCCAGTGCCGCCAGCAGCCTCAACCTTCTCGCTCTTATTCTTATTCTTCTGCAAAGTCATCTTGAACGAATTCTTGCCCCTTTTCTTATTAATTTTTATCACAGTCTTTAGAGTTCCGGTATACGAGTCCGCTGCCGCCTTTGAAGTTGAAGCTTTGCCCTTTTTCCTCGGCTGCGGCGCCTCTTTTGCCGCCCGTAAACTTTGCAACCCCAAAGCACCCAGGACGCTCTCCTTTTCGGCTAATTGTTCCGGAGATTCCTTTACAGCTTCTGTTTCTTCGGGCTTTTTAACATCTATATTCTCACTAGTTTTATCACAATCTTCTTTTTCAGTCAAAATTTCTTGTCCTGTTTCATCCACTTTATCATCTTGCTCAACAATAGTTTTAGCTTCTTCTGGTTGCTTAGTTGCTTCATCATTTTTTGGTTCTTCAACTACTGATGTACATTCATTTTTGGGTTCCTCAACTTCAACTTCACATTTAGCTTCTTCAACTGCACATTCAGCTTCAGCAACCGATTCCTCAACTGCACATTCAGGTTCAGCAACAGATACCTTCATATTACACTGTTGTTTAACTTCAACTTCATCAACAGATTCTTCAACTTCAACTTCAGTTTCTTTAGATTCGGTTTCAATAACTTTTTCTTCTGTTTGAACATCTTCTTCAACTTTCTCCTCTGTTTCAACTTCCATTTTTTCATCCAAACTCTGATTCAAATCCTCATTACTAGTCTCAGGTTCATCTACATCATCCCCACTTAAATGTTCAATATGAAATGATACAACATTGTCTTTTTCCACAACAGCTATGCCAATATTTTCATCAACAAATGAACGTTTTTGTTCCAGCATGGCAACGCTGGATTCTAAAAGAGGCGGGCCTAAATGTTCTAAATTTTGTGGTGGTTCACTTGACATGTTGTCTATTACAGGAATTGAATCGTCTTGGATTTGTTTTTCCAAAACTGGAGCCTCTTCTGAAGCTGCCTTGGCTAAATTTGTAATATTATCGATGCACTCTTGTATTTGTTCAGCAGCTTGTTTTTCTTCGGTTTGTTCCAGCAGTTGTCGCAATTCTTGTTCTTCGGTCGAAGTTGAGGTGCAAGGTTTTTCGACAGGTAGTTTTTCGACAGGTAGTTTGTCGTTGCTCATGTCGTTGAATGCTTGCTTCATTATGTCCAAAAGAAGGTTTTTTTCTGGCATTTTTGAGTCGCAAACGTTCGAGTTTGTGTCGATTTGAGTGGGGGCGTTCGAGGATTCGTCCAATAGGAGACTGTCAATGTCCTTGTTACCCTGTAAAATATAAATAATAAATGAATTTTGTAAGGAAAACATAAAAGTTTCTAGATTTTCACGAATTTAGATAATTGAAACCGTAACATGGATTGATGTTCTATACTTAATTCTTGTTTAAAAAGATCTTCCTGTCTGTCTAGAGACTCTTGCTCTCTTACTCGTAATTTTATGGCAAAATTGTGTTGAAACCTAAGACTGGAGAAATAAGTTAGGTCAAATTAGGCTGCAATCTTTGAGTTATAAGCGGGTGAATGTTGTATAATTTTATATTCGAGTGAGTCCAGGCAATTTGCCATTTATTTAGTATAATTTGCTTCAGATAGCGCTTTGAGTCCATGGGTAAGCTCAAATTTATGGCAATGATGTTAGCATCTGAGCAGTTTTAGCTGAGTAATCTGCAAGCTCATTTCCAGTGATCCCAATATGTGACAGCACCTAAATGATGGTAATTCGCAATGTCAAGTTGTATGATTGGTAAATATTGAGTATTTGTTGCAATAATGGATTTGTCGAACATGTGTTACATATAGAATCAATCAGTAAAAATGGCAATGCTTTGACCTGTTCCTGAGATCAATTGAAGGGCAGATAGAATTCCATAAAGTTCGCCGGAGCATACACTACAAAAACTAGTAAGCGTATATTGGGCCAAAGTAATATTAGATGTTCTAACTGCACAACTAACACTGGTATTGTTCTTGGAGGCATCGGTATACAAAACCTCATCATAACTTGAGGGACGGACACTCTCAAGAAACAGTTTTCTAAGTAATGAACTAGTAGTGTTATGTTTGCTGTATTTAGTCAGCAGCGTATTGATTCTTGGCCGCATTAAGGTTCATGGTGGTGGGTTTGGAGTTGAGTAGCGGTACAATTCAAAAAAATTGTAATCAGGAAGGGTGTTTTGTAACATTTAACGGAATGAGTAACGTCTAGGAGTGCGTTGAGTATATATCGGAATTCTATTCAGCAGATTATTAACAGTATACGGTAGTTGTGTACAAAAGAAGATGTATTTCTCGACGAAGTTGGAGAGGAAGTTCTTGAGATTCACAATATAAAGAGTCAACTGGACTGGTTCTAAACGCTCCTAGGCAGATACGTTGCGGGAACCAAGTTGCATATTTTCTTCCAACCCTCATTATCCTAGGAACCAAATTACGTGTACCCCTTTATTTATTATGTGTAAAAATTTCTTGATGAAATTATTGCTATTTACTATTTCCTTCCTATATAGAAATCACATTTAACTTTTTTTATCAACTTGTTTAGTCTATTACTATAATTTTTCTAGTGGTGTTCTAATTCTGGTTCATATTTTTTCAATTTGGATTCTTTTTATTTTGTATTTTTGCTGTATAAAAGTTATAAATCCGTTTGTTATCCTTTCTTTACATTTTTCATGCATGACTTTTCACAGAAATGTCGGTGGAATTGCATTAATATGTTTTAAGTTAAAATAACCAGATCTTGAAAGTCCAAAAGCGGGACAAAGTCACAAAGATCTCGAAAATCTTGTTTCCATTTTTAGTTTAGTTTTTTTTGAGTACCTGGGTAGTTTTAGATAAATTACTTATGCAGCTATACAGAATATGTAATGATATACAAAAAAAAAAAACAAATTTTAAGCTATAAAAAAAAATCATGTCCGTGCTGTACACGTGGTGGAAGAGAAACTTCTTAAAAACTATCCCCTCCTAATACAAATTTTAGCCTGCGTATGAGTCAAGGGGTAAAAACAAAGGATCACACAAAAGGGAGACCTGCATCTGTAGTAACGTCACAAGGGTATCGGCGCTTGATGATAGACAATCAATCCCCTTGGCTTATAATCTTTGGTTTGTGTCAATCGTTCCTCGGCAGTCATTGTCATTGGCTTCTTCCGTCTTACGTTATATCTTTCTTCTCTCTCGAGTCACGAAATTTGCCCGTGATGTGTTTTTCAAATTACTCCCCATTGTCGTCCAAACATCAGACCGCCGCCCAAGAAGTTTCACAGTCCTTCACAAAGATACAACCGGAGAGGATATTGAAAATGCTCAAGCAGAGTTCAACGCTAATGGTTGCGACTATTGTGACTTGTGAGCTCTGACATCTGCGCAAACTTATAAATTTGAATTAGGTGTTATGCTTTACTGATAAAATGATCCAGGCAAAACATTGTATCACCCGTTCAAGCAGCTTTATATCCTTGCAGTAGTACGGGTTCCAGACTGTGTGTGCGTACTCAAGTTTGGGCCTTATGTAGGTCGACTTTTTTGATCATTTGGATAGAGTGATTGGTAAAAGCCGTTTGTGGGGATTTTAGAGTTCCTTCGATAGAGTGGACCAGATAGACTTTGGGTGGTTTTAATAAAACTCGAACGCGGTTAGTTTTTAATCGGTTTATTTCAACTCAAAACACTTTTACTACCGCAAACAAACGGATCAACAAAGACGAACAGTACAATATTACGATTAAATTAATTATAGCAATTAATAGTGTTGCTTTTCAACCACGTGGAGGAAGTGCATTGACACGGAACTTGTTGCGATAACATGGGGCGTTCGATAACATAGGGCGTGTTATGGACCGTCGATGACGTGCAACAAATGACTGAGTTATTAAAGAAATCTAAACACCGTTTTTACTAGGTACACCAACTGATTCGCTTTCTTCACAACTCGGCCTATGTGTGTTTCCCATTTAAGTTCTTGGCTTACGTGCACGCCCAAATCTTTTTGTTGGTTAACATTCTCTAGCTTGGTTCCCTTAATTTTGTAGTCAATCATCGGGTTATTTTTTCCTACATGCAGCACTGTACATTTCTGTTCGTTCAGATTCAGCTGCCACGAGTTAGTCCATCGTCCGATTGTACTGAGGTCCTCTTTAAACAGATCCAAGTGCTTCAATAGGTTGCAGAAGAGGATACTGAGTTACTTTTTAAACATTTTGTTAGGTCTGCTATATAGAGTATGAAGGGGATAGAAGCCAACACTGGTTGGTAGTTTGCCGGATGATGTTTGTCTCCGCTCTTAAAAATCGGGATTATGATAGCCTGGGTCCAAATTTTTGGTAGGATGCCTTCTGTTAGCGAGCTGTTAGGGATTCCGCTTCTTGGTAGGAAAATGGCAGGTATTCCGTCGGTTCCCGATCTCAAGTAGGTCTTTAGTTCCTTTAGCACCTCATATACTTCTTCAAGTGTGATAATCTTGTTGTTTATTGTTGTCAAGAAAAGACCTAGTAGAGAACTAAATCTTGTATCAAAGGTTACAACTTGATGACATTGCCATTCTTTGTAACACGTTAGAAAATCTGTGATTTCTTGACATGGTTTATTCAATCTTATCTCTCTTCAAATCTCTGGGTGGTTGAAATCACTTCGTCATTCTCCTCGAAATTTATAGGCAAAATGCGATAAAATAGTATAAGTAACGCGTTACCAAATGGTTTTACTTATTTCGTGAGGCCTTAGAGCACCCGCTCGCTTTGCTCCCTCGTACACAAAAACTAGCCACACTCAATTGGTAAAACTTCACTTCACGAAACTTGGTGCTTAACTTAATATACTATTACAATGTCTGAAAAATTCGAGATCATGTTATAGGTATTAACATCAAAAATATTTCTTTTAGGGCGTTGTTTACGCCTGAGGCTATTGGTTCTTCAAAAACTAGAAATAAATGTTATAGATCAAATAGATATAGATTTTACTTTTAGGACAGAGGCAGTTTACAACTGAAGAAGCAAATGGAGCTAGGCTGATTACCAAAACTAGGTGGATTGTAGAAGCGAGACATGGTCATATAAAATCTATTTTTAAGTTTTTCGCCAATGTGATAGGGATTCCCAATATACCACATTTTAAACGGTACTTGAGAATTGCTAATGCTATAGTTAATGCATTTCATCCGCCTGTTGTGATGCACGGTAAGTAAAACACATAATTTTAAGTATGTTCATGACAAAATTAGGTAAACAATACGCACAAATTATGTTATCTTAGCTATTTTACAATAATTCAAAACTGCTTCCAGGTTTCAATGCTGAAACTGCACAAGAAATGCTCCATTTAGCTGCCCAGCCAAATCTTTTACAACAGAGAGTGGAAAATGAAAATCTTTTGAGACATGGTGGACGAAGAATAAATATAGAAGATGTCTTTCAGTTTCCCATATTACCTGTGGAATACCTGATATCAAAAACATTTGGTACATACCAAGTGAAATTGGCACCTGCTTACGTACAAGACAAAAAAAGAAGAGTTATTGACGGATTTGAGGCCCATCAGATTGATCAGAATCTGACTAGAGTTCGAATCTTTTCTAGACACGTACAGGCAGCTCAACATACATGTTTCGTTGCCTACCACCACGAAAACAAGAATATTGTTGATCCAATATCAGGCACTTACTGCACATGTAAAGTAGGTGCCAAAACGTTGGGTGTCTGTGCACATGTTGCATCAATTTTATGGTATCTGGGGCACGGAAGATATCCCGAAAACAATTCGAGGTATCCCTCAAATCAACTTTTGACTGTCATTTTGGATGCAGCCAATAGAAATCAATGTTGAATAGTAATAGATATTTATGTCATAAGGATCATAATGACAATCATTATGGTACTAGCCGTGAATATTATCAGGCGAGGCGTTAACTGAGTCTGATAAAACGGCGTGTGCCATAATGATTGTTTTTGATCCGAATTTCATACAATACATTATACCTATTCCGACCTGTCAAAATGACATCATTGTGGATTTCATTTATGAGTGTCAAAATGTTTGAGTACCTACTTTAATGATTTCATTATAGTACTGAGTACTCATAATGATTTCATTAAAGTATCCAAAAAAAATCGCCGGTACATAAAATCCTTTATACTAAAACTACGTAGGTACCTACTTTAAAATGAAAATTGACATCTCTGTCAAAATCTGAAACCTGCGTGTAATGTTTTTTCATGCGTTATCATAAATAGGCCTAACTTAAATTGAAAAATAACTAGATTTGAC